TGAGTCGCTCTCCTGCCGTCCTGGTGTCACCACGCTCATTCTGAAGAACCGCAAGGGCTCTGTCCCCATGGCCCTGCAGCACGGGTGGGTCACGGGCATCGCTGCCATGGGGGTCTGGGGGTCCTGGCGTCACATCACCACCCACCATGTCCCCTCCACAGGGCCTACCTTGTCCCCTCCTTCTCCTTCGGGGAGAATGACCTCTTCCGCCAGGTGGTCTTTGAGGAGGGCAGCTGGATGAGGAGCATCCAGCAGCGCTTCCAGAAGATGATGGGCTTTGCTCCCTGCGTCTTCTATGGCCGAGGTCTCACCTCTGTCCAGTCCCTAGGCTTCCTGCCCTACGCCAGACCCATCACCACTGTGGGTGAGCATTGCCTGCTGGGGCAGAGGGGACCCCCAGAAGGTGGAGGGGTGGAGGAGGATGACACCCTGCCATGGGTGGTGTTGGAGAACAACACCCAGCTTGTGTCCCCGATGAGCCAAGCTCATCCCCGTGCCACCAGCCCGACTTTCCTCCACTCCTGGCAGTGGGAGAGCCGGTGACAGTGCCCAAGATCCAGGACCCGAGCTGCGAGATGGTGGACATGTACCACGAGATGTACATCCGCTCCCTGCTCAAGCTCTTCAACGAGAACAAGACCAAGTACGGGCTGTCGGAGACGGACGAGCTGCACATCCTCTGAGCGTGGCCGGCGCCAGCGGCCAGATCCTGGCTCACAAGAGCAAGCGGCTCTTGCGGGTGGGGATTTCAGCCAGCCTGGCACAGGGAACGCGGGGGACAGTCCCCACTCCAGCCCTCCGCTCCTCTGGCCAAAAAACCTGAGTGGGAGGTGGGAGGAGAGGAGGAAGCGAGGAGAAAGGGAGATTGGGAAAAGGTCCCCCTGGAAAGGCCTTTGGAGGGGCTGCGGGTGACACAGCTGTCCCCTGAGGACATGGGGCTGATGTGGGGAGGCTGGGGGCCAGCGATGGGCACGGTCCCCGCAAGATAACCGGGACACCATGAGGGTGGGGGGCATCATGGGAGGAGGGAATGAGATGGGCTCTTTGGGGTGGCATCCCGACGGTGAGTAGGACCAGGCTGGGGAGACCTTTCCCCCTGGGGTGGAGGGGAGGACACTCCTGGACTTGGGGACTTGCAGAGTGGCCTCAGCTGGGACCGTGTGCCCCTGGGCAAGGGGCGGGTGCAGCTCTGGCCCCAGATGAGCCTTTTATGCCACCTCTGTACCCAATATAGATTTCCAAACCCCCCGCCACTGCCTATGTCTATGCTGGGGGGGCAGGATCGGTGGCACCATGGCCGTATCCCTGTGCTCCCCATGTGGGTGGACCTGCCACCCACCCATGTCCCCTCACTGGGGACCCTTGCACCGCTCAGGTGCAACTGAGCAGCTCCTGGGTCCACCTGGGCTGCGTTGGGTATAATGGGAGGTGAGGGGCAGCAGCTGCTCTTACTGGATTTAACTGGGCTTGGGGGGGGGTGTCTCCTTCTTTCTCTGCTCTCGGCACAGTGAGTGAGGGGCTCTCTGGGTACCGGTGTCCGGTGGGATGGGGATGTGGAGCTGGGATGGGGCATCCCTGGGGCTCTCTCCCACCCTGGGTGACCTGGGCGGCTCCTGGTGGGATGTGGCCATGTGTGGCTGGTGCCGTGGCCACGGCTGGGGGGTGACACCCCGATGATGGTACGGGCACCCCTTCCCTAGGCACATGCTGGTGGGACTTGGGGAGGTGGGGTGATGGGGGGCAGCCCCTCTCGGGGCTCCCTGTGGTGGGGACAGCCCTGTCCCATCCCTGCCCAGGCTGGCGTGGGCCGGTCCCAGTGCTGAGAGCCATCTCTGGGCTGCTCCTGTCTGTGCTGGCGCTTGGGCAAACAAAAGGGCTGGGTAAACATTTGGAAAGCAAACATTTGGAAGGCAGATTCCCAAGGGCTCTCCCATCACAGCGGGTGTCACCGCTCTGGCCCGTCGCCCCAAACCTGCCCCGGTGTGAAGGTAGTGGGTGGCTTTGCTCTCAAACGCTTTCTGGGGTGAGGGTGGGCATCTCCTCCCTCTTCCTTCTGCTATGGGAAGAAACAGGACTGAGCATAGAAAAAGGGGAAGGGGCTTTATTGGGGGGTGACGGGCAGCAAGTGCCCCGCGCCACATCCCTCCCCGCCTCTCCCAAGGCCAACAGAGTGACAGGGACATCTCTGAGAACCTCTGCCAGGCACACGGGGGACCCAGCATCGGCTCCGTCCCCAGGTTCAGTCCAGTCCCTGCACGTCACTGTTGAGCAGACTGGAAGGACCGTGCATGCCCAGGGAAGGACCAGTGTCCCTTCTCCGTAGTGACCTGTCAGCCCCCACGTGTCCCCAGGAGTGCCCCAGGATGGGACGCCAGCCTGCCTCCCCAAATGGCTTTCTTGGCATCTTTCCCATTCCCGTGGGTGCCTGGGGGGCTGTCCTGCCCTGAGTGGCACTGGCACCCTCCTCCCACAGCATCCTGGGGCAGGGCTGGGACAAGCCCCATGGCCACCAGCCCTCAGCCCTGTGGTCTCTGCCCCAGCAGAGGCTGGGCAGGGGCAGGTCAGGTTTGGGGACCTGGGGGGTGCCAGGGTGCCCACACAGAGCCTGGAGGGGCTGGAACTCGTGGAGACCAGGGATGAGGTTACTGGAACCCCCTTGGCCCCTCAGCACCCTCCTCCACTCCGTGCTGTCCCTCTCCCTCGGGTGTCACCGTCAGCGTGGCTGCCACTTGCGATGTTGTCCATGGAGGGGGATACCAGGGCCAGGTTGCACATGGACATGGGCTGGAGGCGCTGGGCTGGCCCCCGGCGCAGCTGCCCCCGGTACTTGTCCCCAACCATGAAGTACAAGATGGGGTCAAGGCAGCTGTTGATGCTGGCCAGGGGCCGCGTGACCTTGTAGGTGAAGTTGATGATGTTGAGAGTCTGGCAGTCAGCTTGGAAGTAGCGGGTGGTGTAGTAGATGGTTCGGGTGATGTGGAAGGGCACGAAGCAGATGGCAAAGACGGTGAGCACGATGATGATCATCTTGATGGAGCGCTTCTTGTAGGAGGGCATTCGGGGGCTGGGGCTGGAGAAGCTGGACTTGCTGAGTCTCTTGGCCATCAGGCAGTAGCACAGGACGATGACCAGGAAGGGGACCCCAAAGAGGAGGGCCATGACGGAGGAGCTGTAGTGCACGTAATGGTCAAACTCCTCGGGCTTGGTGGTGTCGTGGCACAGGGTGCTGTTGCCCTTGGAGCTGGTGGTGACGAAGATGAGGTTGGGGATGAGACAGATGGTGACGACAAGCCAGGCACCCACACAAATGATGCGGGCGTGCTTGGTCTTCACCCACTTCAGGGAGCGGATGGGGTGGCAGATGCCCATGTAGCGGTGGACGCTGATACACGTCAGGAAGAGGATGCTGCTGTAGAGGTTAGCGTAGAAGAGGAAGCGCACGATCTTGCAGAGCCATTTCCCAAAGGGCCAGTTGTTGCGGTCAGCGTAATAGTAGACCAGGGTAGGGAGGGAGAGGACGTAGAGCGTGTCGGAGACGGCCAGGTTGAACATGTAGGTGGTGGTGGCATTCCAGGGCCTCATCCTGGAGATGAAGATCCACAGGGCCCAAGAGTTGAGGGGCAGCCCCACCACGAAGACGATGCCGTAGGAGATGGGCAGCAGGATGAACTTGAACTCCTCGTTGAAGACGCACTTTGCCTCCGCCACCGCGCTGGTGTTTCCTCCTGGCCAGGGAGTCGGCGTCGGTGTCCACGGGGCAACTGGGAACGTCCTCACTGAAGTGGCCATGTTCGCCGAGCCAGATCTAGGGGAGCAGTTAATAAAAGCGCGTTAGTCGTCGATCCTGACCATTGTCAGGCACAAAGCGTGGAAGGCAGCCAAAGACGCCAGATTTTTTTCCCCCCCTCCAGGAGCTCCAGCCACTTTGATGGTTCTCTGTTTTTTCTCAGCTCGCGCGTTCAGGCCTCGCGGGGAGCCAAGGGAGGCTTGACGAATCCTCCCCTTCGCAGACCCCGCAAGGACACCCGTTAATCATCCCTTTGAGCGGCGCGCAGTGACACCAGCGCCGCGTGGAGCCGGGAAGCGTGCCTGAGACAGAGGACCGCGCCGGCCCCGCCGGCCAGCAGCCCCACGGCGTGCCGAACAATGAGATCTTTATGAGCAACAGCAGCCCCCGGCCGGTGCCAGCGCAGCCTCTTGGAAGCCGGCTCAGCCTAATTGGCACCATCCTGACAATGCTGCTCATCCCAGAGGGCTCCTTGACAGAAGAAAGGCGGGAGGAGAAGAAAGGCTTGTCTGGGGGAATATTATGGCCCAGAGAAATCCTCGGGGGGCTGTTAAAGGAGCCTTTGGGAGAGAGCATCCCTGGACGGCGAGGGGCCTCCAGCTGCCGGGTATTCTCCGTAGGAGAGGGATGATCTAAGGCCTGTGGAGAGGAGCTGTGCCGGAGCCAAGTCCCAGCCCAAGACAGTGCAAGTTCAGAAGGCAGGCGGGACGTTTCCCCTCGCACACGGTTAGCACCGAAGGCTGGGATCCGCGTCCTCCGGGGCTGAGGTGCGAGGGCGAGTTGTCAAAGGGTTGCATTCACCCCTTGGGATGTCTACGGGTTCAGAGCCCGCTCCTCCAGAGGGAAGAGGGGGCTTCTGCCACCATTGTGGTGTCCAGCGCGGTGAAGGCTGCCCATGCCTTGGCCCTTCTACCCCCGCCACCATCCCTGGAGAAGCAATTTCGGGGCAGGTGCTTCTGCTGGCGAGGACGGATACTTGGATGAGTAACCTGGGAGCTGGAGCCTCCGCCGTGCTGGGGTTTGGGTAGCCCAAACCGTGCCTGGTGGAGGGAGCGCTGCCGTGTCTCCAGCTGCTGTTGGTCCAGAGCTCACCCCGGAGCTGATGGGCGCCAGGAGGACTTGGGGCTCAGGGAGACGGCGCACGTTAGCGGGATGCTGGTGCTGGAGGTACGAGGCAAGAGGCTGCGTCCCCTCAGGCTCCTTCCTCCCTCGGCTCCCTCCTCATCCCCCTCCTGTTTGCCCTTTGCCTTCGCCGCTGAGCCGTGCAGCCTGACGGCTTCTCGTGGCCAGCGCCGTTGGCAGGGATATCCCGCAGGGTGCATCCACGGGGTCAGCCGAGCTGCAGCCCGTCGCCTTCCTGCAGAGACACCCCTGGGTTTGCAGAGATGATCATAAATGAGTCAGCAGGCAGATTTATGACAGGGATGAGTTCAGAGAGCAACAGGCAGGTCCTGATCAAACATTAACAGTGGGAAGAACTTGCTCTCTTTTCCCAGAACCAGGAGGGAAAGCCATCCGGTAGGAAACCCTAAGCCTCCGAGCGCTGGTGCCGGTGGCGGTCCCACGGGGCTGGCTCTGCTGAAGGAAATGTTGTGCTGGTCGTGCTGGTCCCAGCCCAGCGGCTGCGTCTCCCCAAGCTGCGACGCTGCCGAGGACACAAGGCACCAGATTTGTTTTCCTCTTCTAACCTCTGAGTGCAAGTGAGCATGAAGCCTTGAGCCCGAGCGGACCAGGGGTACCGCAGGGTTCAGTGACCAAAGCTAATGCCCACGACATAAGTCAGCAAGCAACTAAGACAGGAAGAAGCCAATAAATAAAAAGTAATAATCTGGTGCAAGAAACGCATAAGGAAAAAGAGCCCAAGCTTCTGCCAGCTGATAAAGCCCGTGCGCAGTCAGTGCTCAGCAGCATGATTTAACCTAAGCAAGCTTCCTTTGGGGATAACCACCAAAAAATAAAAATGCAAACGATGGTGACACTTGGCAAGCTTTATCTCAACAGGTTTCCTGCTTCCTCATCTTAGTCACGATCAAAATCAGTGGTTTCAATTACTGATTCACATCAGTCCACCCCAAGGGCACGTCACTGCCAGGCCCGTTCCTACTCCTCGCTGACGTCCCCGGCAAGGCTCTCCCTGGCCGCGGCCTCTCCAGCGTGGGCTTTTCAAGGAGGGACCAACCGCAGCCACGGTGAGGTCTGAGCCAAGTGTTTGGGCTCGTGGCCGGAACATGCCGGAGGCGGGAGGCACTGCAGGGAAAGGATGTGGAGCTGGGGAGGCGATGCCCGCTCCTGCCCTGCCTATTTTGTGGGGACACGAGGGCTGTGATGTTGGGAATCCCTGGCCCATGGCAAGCACAGCTCCCTGGGACGGGGCCCGATGGGGAAAGGGGCAGGGGCCGGCCATGGGGCCGCATGTCGGGGGGCACGTGCTGCCCTTGGCCCCTTGCCGCAGGAAAGGGAGCTCTGCCCTGGCTCCTGGCCCCATGGCCGTGCCCAGCCCGAGCCCGTCCTTCAGCCCCGGTGGGAGCTGGAGGCCACCCCCCAGCCCAGGGTGCCCCCAGCCAGGGGTGCCCCAGGCGCTGGCCGAGCCTGCCCACCCTGGGGATTCACTGGGGTGTTGCAAAGACACAAAAGAAATGAATGAGTGGGGCAGCATCAAAGGCAGACTCTGCCCCAGAGCCAAAGTCCTGCCCGCTGGCAGGACAGGACAGGGGGTCAGGGATCGTGGCGCATCCAGCAGGAGCTTCGGAGAGGGGACAGGAGAGTGGATTTTGGAGGGGAGCAAGCAGCCACCAAGAGACGTGGGGCTGGGTGAGCCTGGGACAACTGCTGCTGGAGCACGGGAAAAACAGAGCTTTTCTTCTCGCCTAAGCCCTCGGAAATTGCAAAACAAGGGGAAATTATGCAAAGCATCCTGCAGAAGGACCCTTGTCCCTAATCGCCACGTGGTTTGTGCAGCCAAAGCCCCGGCACAAGGTGAGTGTGACCCAATTTCTCTTCCATCTTTCCCTTCAGCTGCAAGAGCAGCCAAAGCACGATCCGCCCACGCTGCTCGGGTGCCAGTGCCTCCTCCCCGGGGACGCCAGCGGGGACTGCCCACCACGTCCCCTGCTCCGAGGTGACCCCCTTGCTCAGTGGGCTGGGAGATGAGGGTTTACTTTCGCCCTTGGGTGCGCTGTCCCCATCCTTCCAGCTCCCCAGGGAAGGGCAGGAGCCTGAAGCTGCTGCAGCCCAAGGGGCAGCTTCAGCCTGCGAGGAGGCAGCGATTTGAGGGATGGCAGGGAAGATGAAGGCAAGGAGGTGGCCGCACCAGGAAGGATGGAGGCCCTTGGTGATGGAGGAAGGTAGTGGCATGTTAGGGAGGAGGACGCACGGAAGGATTTGGGGATGGTGGAGGGATTCGGAGAACTGGCTGACCCACACTCCACACCCATCCAGCCCCACGGATGCCACCTCTGTCCCTCGTGGGGCCAAAGCTGCTCCCCACAGGCCCCCCCAAAGCCCGGCTGGGTTTGCATGGCCGTGTCACGGCCACGGTGGG